TCACATGGCAGTGCACACATTACGTACACACAAGTAAAAATACTACTCACATATCAATATAAACATCACACCATCATACAAACACCACACACAACAATACAAACACAACACGCAACAGTACGAAGAGAGTATAAAAACTACTACAGCAAATAAAATATATTTAAAACGAAGACCACACAGCCTAATAAACCACCAGAACGGACAGATTTTAAGATATCCTTAATAACACAAATTCCTCTCTAAATGACCTCCACCTTAATGCTCCTTTTACACTAATGAAGTTAGACCCATCGTAATAAATAAGGAGGAAATCCCTTTGATTAGAAAACATCGTAAAGAGCTTCATAATCGTAAATCAGACTTATATTTTGTGATTTAGTTTAAGTCCCTCTTGAACGGACTTCACATATTTTCAGCCTTAATAGACCTGTATTAATCTTGACCACACCGAAGTTATTTCTGTCCACTTATATTATATTATAATATATATATATATATATATATATATATATATATATATATATATATATAAATATATAACCATAAATCTCTCGAAAAACCCTCGAACCCTCGAAAAAGGGTTCGAACTTGCATTACCAAGATTTATCCCTTGGAGTGCACTGGATTGGTCGGTCTTGGGGCAGAGCTCCAGGACTAACCAATTCCCGGAAACACTCGTAGTGAAATTTGGGACTAGTTTTTCATAAACCCTGGTGCATGCACAGATTGCCTATGCACCAGGATTTGATGTCATAAATATAATGCTTTCAAAAACATAATAAATTAGCCTTTTAACACCAATTTTTTTTTAATTATTACTCGATATTCATAATATTCCACGAAATGTTTATAACATTTGATAGTGTAAATATCGACAGTGTTTCAGTGAAACTGAAGATTAAATCCGAGTTATGAAAACCGCTTCGACAAACGCAATACTTAACTGATGGTTTACAGACACTTCTTGGAACATTGACTAAATGTTCGTTAATCCAGCAGCCAATCGAAATATATTGGAATATTAGTCACCAAAAACAGTATAAAAATTAACTTTCGCTTACCTGTTTTGCTAAGATTGATCTTTAGCGTCGTGAACTTGTGTCTGGTCACGTGTAGTTGTTCAGAGTTGGAGCTGCCGTTCTCAACACGTGGGAAACACATCACTACATCATAATCACAGATCTTCAAACACTTGGGTAGGTAAAACCTTACTGATTGTTTCTTAAAATAACTTTATCTCTGTCCGGGATCATGTCTGCGCGGCCCACCACCCACTCACTCACGGGGACTAAGGTCTATTAACTTCCACCCATCACACACTTGACTTTATCATCTTGGAGGCGTTGTTCATTATTCAAATGAAGCCTCGGTAAAATAATTCGTCCCCATGGTTTGTTTACCTATTTTAGTTCCTGTTGATTTTTATATAATTTTGTGTATATCGTATAACATCTCATCTATATACCGGGTAACTTCTTGATATTTTTGTAATGAAAATGGAGATTGTCACTCCGTAACGTTAGCAAAAAAACAATATTTTTTCACCTGGATCGTCTCAATTTCCAACTCGCACCAAAAAATTACGAGATCGACTGAGTTCGAATCTTTGACGATGCAAATGAATGAAATATTACACACCCTGTTGTGGGTCAGCCCGTCCTCATCAACAAGGCCAATTGCTTGTTAATCCAGTCACCAAAAACCTTGTTTATGTATGAAAAATGGTTTATACACGAGTCATGACTGATGTTCGAACATTTCTCGAACAGACCATCGCTGACGACCTGTTCGAATCGCGACGCTGTAAACGCTCCCTACCTCCCCTCCCCCCCCCCCCGCGTACTTCCAATACCTAACCTACGACTAACTGTGCGTAAAATTTTAATATATAATAATATTAATTTATATTTGATAACAAACCTATTTTTTAATAGAGAGACCATCTTGGGCCAGAATCTTCCAAGTATTGGCACAACAACTCAAGAAACCAATTCAAGTTCGATCGTCATCAGTTGTGACTGATAATGTTCACTGTCAACATAATAATTTTAAATAAAACACCTGTTCAATAGCTAACTATAACAACATTTTTGGAAGCATTATGGAGTAGGGGTTCGCTTGTTCGTTACTCCATAACTTCACTGCATGTTTGAATATCTCAGAAAGTTAATTGAATGTGGCGTTAACTTAGTGATTTGTTCATGAGAAAAGGGAAAGTAAATTTTACGACTGGGTTGTTCGTTTGTTCATTTGATTATTAAGGAAATTGTCCATGTGTATTTTGGTAATATTAGTAAATAAATTAATTTGATAGACATCTTATCTACTTTCACTTATTTGTTCATTTGTTTAGCTAAATTATGTTAAATTATTTTTTTTAATTATATTATGTTAAATGTTATGCCTAATGTTTAATTGTTCATGAAAACATTCATAAAATACTTAAAATTTATTAATGGTTCCTTCTCAAGGTCCACGTAGCGGTGAACGGGTTATTTATTTTTTTGGCAATTTAACAACTCGTTTTTATTTGTTTTGGTCCATGTTCTACTTGTTCTTCCGTGTTCCAGGTTTTTATTGCTCTGTCTCTCCTCTCACTTTCTGTCTGTCCTTGTTTGTGCTATTGTTTTGTTATTAGAATCGTTGTTTCCATGCACAACAAAACCAGGCAAGCGTGAAGTAACGAGAACAAAGAATTTTGTCAAGTTTATCCCCATCTGAATATTATTTATAGCAGGCTTAAAAAATACAGTTAACCCCCCGCCTTAATTTTTCATGTCTCTATGTTTTATGCTTTAAGTTATTATACTTATTCATATATTATTATAATTATTACTCTGTGTCGACACATATTTTTGATAGTTTGGCTGTTCTGAACCAGCGGTAAACTTCAAGTACAGTTATCAACAAGAATGCGTGCGTCCATATATTGTGTTCAATGCTGTTTTGTTTCAGTAACGATTCATTCACAAGATGATTGAACTGTTATGTTTGGTTACCAACCTTTGGCCTCATTACGTTACATAACGTTGCGTATTTTAGATGAGACTATACATGTTGGTATATATAATACAATCGTTAGGACCAAACGATCACGGTCACAGCCTCCAGTAACACTATGAAACAACAGACACGCAGATTTCATTCACATTTTCGAAACATATTATTAATATCAAAGTTAAAGTATTAATAACATCGTGCACATAACTCGCCTCGGACTTATGTGTTGAGCTTACGGTACAGCGGTATTACGAAAGAAGAGCAAGGAGGACAATAAGCAATGATGCAATGGCAGGGCAGGAAGGAGTGTTCTGTGATATGCAGTTATATGGGGAGGGGCTGTGTGAATGAGGCCGTTGGGGGGGTTCAGTGTGTATGGGCGAGTTTGTATTGATGAGTGAGGGAGTAGTGTGAGTGTGAAGGTGAGGGAGGCAGTGTCCATGTGTGTGTGTGTATCTGGGGGTTGAGGGTTGTGTGTGTGTGTGTGTGTGTGTGTGTGTGTGTGTGTGTGTGTGTGTGTGTGTGTGTGTGTGTGTGCGTGCGTCCGGGGGTTGAGGTGACCGTGCGTGTGTGTGGGTGAGACAGACGTGCAGGCGACGGGAGTGTGTGTGTGGAGTTAAGCAACTTTGAAGCTGCAGCTTAGGCTTGCCAGTGCATCATCCTCGCCAGGAGTCTGTAGGGACACAGAGGGTCTACCATGATGCACAGCGAGTCCACCGTCGCTCCGTCACACCTGGATAGCTTTATACCTGGACTCGTGCACTTCATTTGCGGCCGTGAGCACTCTGGGAAATCATGAACACAAGCACTCACTCCCTCGCGCCAACTGGGTCGTTTCCTGGACCGCAATACAAACTGGAGTGTGACGTACGAAGCCAGTGAAACTGGCCTTTTCTGGAATCGTGCCACCTGGACCTATACATTGTATCTCCCGCCAAACTTACTCCACATCTGTCAAATTAACGCAACGAGCTTGTGTAGATTAGTCGAATACAACGAAGCACAGAGCATTCGCTATCACTCGGCCCTCTTCGCTGTATAAAGGGACCGAAGAACTCCTGTTTATTAAATGACCCACGTCTCTAAGAGTTACTCAATGGTACCATTCGGGAGTCATTCTAAGTGTGTTATGACTCGTCACAACAGCGTAAATGTCAATAATTGTGATGAATGAATGATTTACCAACTCTTTACTAAAGTATTACTTTAGTAAATAGAACTAGATGTTATGAGCGTGCCGAGAAATAGTGTAAATATCCTGCTGCCTAGAACAATTTGCTGGCTTCCTTTGTCTAAGTTGACGATAAAGTAGAGTAGATGTTAGTCTCTGAGGGATTCTGGTATACTGAGTTACCTCACCCTGTCTACGAGGTAGAAACAGAGAGGGAGGGAATTATCAGGAGGAAAAAACGCCAAACCATTAAGACACAGCACTTGGATGTGGTCAGGATAAGGATTTGGGATGGGACGGGGGAGAGGAATGGTGCTCAATTAGAAGAGGAGAGAAGGATAAAGAGTAGAGATAAAGTGACAGAGAGAAGTGAAAGACATAGCGTGGAACAGACACGACATGAAATCGATACGAGGGGCCAGGGCGAATGGAAGGGAGAGATAAGGAAAGGAGGATTGAAAATGAGTGGAATGCAAGATGAGATAACGGGAAAGGTGATGGGGAGAGGCTGGAAGAGGAAGCTCGTGAACAGCTCGCGTCTAGGTCAGCTGTGAAGGGCGACACCAGTACACATTATTAAGGAGATTGAGAGTGAACTGACCCCAATACACACTTAATTTTCCTAGTACGTTCCTATTAATTTTCATTGTATTAACTTACTCACTCATATACTCACTGTATTAACTGTACTCACTCATATACTCATACTCAATACTATGATAGCTATTTTATTATTCTTCATTTTTGCTGTAATTTCTGAACAGACTTTTACTTTCCGCTGAAACATTTCATGTAAAATTAAAAATAAAAGGACAAAAAATCTAATTCAGGAAATTTACAAAATATTTATTTCTATAAAAGTCTGTAATGTGTATTGTAATGTAATTAGGACAAATACAGAGGTTTCTCAAGGGTTACCGAGTGTACTATTATGTATTATATACACGGAAACGTCTCTCAAGAGTATACACAGTTTTGGTACTTTGAAAGGAACTGTACTGCGCCTCTCCTGCAGGTGACTGCGCTGGGCCTCTCCTGCAAGTGACTGCGCTGCGCCTCTCCCAGGTGACTGCGCTGGGTCTCTCCTGCAGGTGACTGCGCTGGGCCTCTCCTGCAAGTGACTGCGCTGCGCCTCTCCTGCAGGTGACTGCGCTGGGTCTCTCCGGCAGATGACTGCGCTCGGCCTCTCCTGCAGGTGACTGCGCTGGGTCTCTCCTGCAGGTGACTGCGCTCGGCCTCTCCTGCAAGTGACCACGCAGGCGTTTCTGCGCTCCTCACGCCGCAAAGTTTCTCTCGTGGTAACCGAGGGCGGCAGCCACGGCCTGTAAGTGGGCGGCCTTGGCTGCGGCAACATCCTTGGTGTCCGTCACGCCTCCTCCGACGCCTGCGGGTATGGTGTCCGCTTGCGGTCCCGTCCACCGAGCCACAGGGGCAGGGGCAAAGCGGTGCGTGACGGGCTGAGGGGCAGGGAATGCGGATGCCGCAGGAATGGTGGGTATGGAAGAGAAGGTGCGTGCCGCAGGGAATGTTCGTGCCGCATTGAAAGTGGGTGCCGCAGGGAACGTTCGTGGACCTGGATGGAACTGCTGGTTCGTGCCTAAGTTGACCGAGTAGGAGAAGGCGTCGGCGGCAGGTGTGTAGGTTGGTCGAGCAGCGAAGGTTTGGGGCTGACGACGGGGTTCCACTTGTGGTTCCACTTGAGGTTCCACTAGGGGTTCCACCTGGGGTTCCACTTGCGGCTGACGGCGGGGTTGCGCTTGTCGCTGACGACCTGAGTTAGCTCTCAGGCGACGGGGGGGCTCCTCGTTGAAGTTTCCGGTGTCCTGCGATTGTGCTGACAGCAGCGCTATGCGGTTGTACTCCCTGACGAAGGCGTTGCGCGCCGCTTCAACCTCCGGGGTGTCGCGGAGAAATCCCTGACCCACGGTCGAGGCCACCACCACACTCAACAACACCTGGAAAATATTACTTCCATTATAATACTTATGCCAGTACACCTTACTCGCTATACACTCTTCCAGTACATCTTACTACTCTCTTCCAGTACAACTTACTACTCTCTTCCAGTACACCTTACTCGCTATACACTCTTCCAGTACACCTTACTACTCTCTTCCAGTACACCCTACTACACTCTTCCAGTACACCTTACTACTCTCTTCCAGTACACCTTACTTGCTATACTCTTCCAGTACACCTTACTACTCTCTTCCAGTACACCTTACTACTCTCTTCCAGTACACCTTACTACTCTCTTCCAATACACCCTACTCACTACATTGCAAACCAGCATATTCGTTACAATTTGTTGAGCAGTAATCTAAGATTTATAACACAGGTAATCCATAGTCCAGTCACATTTGCCTGTGGGTGTTGTTCAGGCTGCCTGGAGCATCAGAGAGCGGCTCACGTGACGACATTATAGGCCTAAAATATCGTCATCATTTTTGGTTGTATTCCACATCTTAGCTTGACAAGGCAGGTAAAAGTACCCATTATCGGTGTTGACCTCTATACTGTAGGAGGTCATGGTTAGCACACAGGTCACATAGGTCATGGTTAGCACACAGGTTAATGGTGAAAGGTCAGTTGCACTTGGAGTGCCTCGGGGCTCTGTCCTGGAACATCTCTTGTTAATCATATATATGAAATGTTTACCAGCTCAGTAAAGGAAATTTAAGTAACACGGCTTTATTCCAACTCTTCTCTGCTCTTATATATACTACTACTATATATATCTAAATATATATACGTATATATACTGACTACTACTAGATCGGCCGAAACGTTCATCTCTCTTTCCCATTTCTCTGTGGATTTTCCGCATATATATATATATATATATATATATATATATATATATATCCTATATCCTTTGAATATTAAATATTATATTCTTTAGCACAATAACTTTTCATCAATGGCTATAAGGTTAATCACTTTATATTTCAATTTTCTTAAAAAAAACTTTCTTGTAGGTTCATTCCATCAATCTTATCCTCACACGGCGTAGTTTTTACACTTCTACGTGCTTCGTAAATTCTCCATTGCTAGGAAAGTCTTGCTTCCTCCCGAGCAGCATGGGAGATGTGTGTGTGTCCACTACAATACTTACGAGGAAGCGCATGATGCAGGCAGATGCAGCTTCCAGGACACAGAGTGAGAGAGTACGTGAAGGAGGTGTGGCAGCTGGGTTTATACGTGCGTGGTGAAGGCAGGCGGTCTTGTCCTTGAGGTCCAGGTGAATGTAGGAAGGTGAGTAGGTGGAGGGGGTGTGTGTTTGGTCGGGAAGGGACTTGTCCCACCCTGGGAACTGGTGGGACTAGTACCAGGATGGGCGGGGGGGGGAGGGTCACAAGAGGTGGAATCGTTGGGTCATGCATTAGTGTCAGAATCGTCTATTACATTATGCCAGAGGTGAATGGAACGAATCGTCTATTAGTCTGTGTCAGAGACGTGAAAAGGGGAGAGGAGGAGGGCTGTACGAATCGTCTATTAGAGTTAACTGGCACAGTCTAATAGATTGTGTTAACTGAACTGATCTTCCTCGTGTCATATAACAGCCCGTCCTTCTAAAGTTTCCCAACGTCAAAAAACTGTCGAACTAAAGTGTCCTTATCCTAACCTACCAGAGGATTCAAAACAGAAAACGGGACAGTATGTCATTTTCGCGAGCCGCTATCATTTCTAGTATAATTGTTAGCCTTAGGTTATTTACGTCAAAATGCGACGCTCTATTACGAGTTGTGTATAAATAGCTTGAAGGTCAACGGTGTCCGAGAAATTACTAGAGATAAATTTATATAATGAAAACTACATTGAGTGAAACGTCGAGGACTCTGAATGTGAGGAATAATTACTTTTTTATTATTTCAAATGTATCATGTTCCAAGCTCTTGTACACCCGAGTTTGTTTCTCCCGGTCACGTATTTACATTTACAATTATGTTCTCAGTATTCTGGTAGATAGCTCCACAAGGACTGTAGGTAGGAAGAGATTATTATACATACCGAGGGATGTATTCCATATATGTATTTACACTGAGTTTCCTTTATGACTAATTTATTCAGGCCAGGTGTATACATGCTGGCTGATTATTAAACCTGTAGTGGCCTCATTAACCCACCGTTGGTTGATGAGCTTTAAGGTCAACACCAAACCAAAGTATAAGTTAAAAGGGCTTTATGAAGGTGCTTTGTAAATTTATGTAGAGTTCCGTATTAGTCGCAACACTTGCATTAGTGGGCGCACCACTTGCGTTATTTGGCACACAACTTGCGTTAGTAAGCGCACGCGTGCCTGAGATGCTGCCTAAAGATATCAACATCTGAACGCAGTCAAATTTATACGTTTTCAGTCACCACAGAGATAAATCTCCTAAAGATCAGATATTGCAATACCTAAAGATAGAGATTTTCATCTATTTAACTATATCTGTAACATCTTTTCTGCAGTACCTAAACATGGTGTTTCGACCTGCACCTGGGAAGTGGCTCATCTAGTGTTTTGTAAACACGAGAAATGAAGTTTAGTAAAATCAGAAAGTGAAGAGGATCAGGTACCTTGGGGAAGTAACAGCAGCAGCACGGTGACGAGTCGAAGTTCCATCAATAAACAGTGGACTTCTCACTCAGTCGCCTGGGACGCCCACCCTCTCGTAGTAATGAATTCCGGCAACGAGTCTTCCTGGAACAGCCGAAGTGTTCGTCGAAAGAGAACATTTTTACGTCCGAGTTGAATCACATGTTCGTCGTGTTGAAGTCTTTAGTGATATCCGTTTCCAGATTCTGTAACTGAATATGGGTGCTCCAGACTATGGCTATAACGTGCAGCATTAAGTCAAAGAGTCGTATTAATCAACTTTTCATCGGCTAACGATTTCTAAAATATTTCTAATGTGTGTGTGTGTGTGTGTGTGTGTGTGTGTGTGTGTGTGTGTGTGTGTGTGTGTGTGTGTGTGTGTGTGTGTGTGTGTGTGTGTGTGTGTGTGCGTGTGTGAGTGTGGGTGGGTGTGTGTTCCAGCCTTCGGTCGTATAATTTCGACTCCTGCCGAATTGTTTAATTTTATATCGAAGTTTGGAAATAAAGATAAGATTGGGGTTCTACGGTTTTCACCTCTAGTTCAATCGACACTTCCTACAGCTCATACATTATAAAAAATACTTCCTCGCCCTGGTTTTCATCCAGGTATTTTATGCTATTGAAACTTCAAGTGTCTCATTCATCTTCTTGCATCGTTAGGCCCATTATATGCTTTTCAATCTTTCTTCGAACCTCACTACAATCATTTGCAATTTTTCAAGTTACCCTATGTGCTTTTTTGAGGTGTTGGTTTCGCATAGAGGCTGCAGATTTCAAGGCTGGTCTCACGTACGTCATGAAAATATGTTATTGATATGCTTCATTGCCAAGAATTGATGTTATATCATCTTCTAGTCTTTTATCGTACCCAGTGTCCCGTGCTTTTGTTATCCTGTCTCGAGTTCCTGTTATCATCATAACCTAGAGTTAGATATCTCTCACCACTGACAGATTCCAGTTAGCACAAGTAGGTACAAACACACACACATGCATACACAAACACACACACACACACACACACACACACACACACACACACACACACACACACACACACACACACACACACACACACACACACACACACACACACACACACACACACACACACACACACACACACACACTCACACACACACACACACACACTCAGAACTAAGTTATTCCTCCACAAATGTCTGGGAAACCTGCAAAAGTGTTCTCTAAAGTGAAATTGCCAGCTGACGATAAACAGTTGGTTAGCGCGGGTCGTTGGCTTTATGGGCGCGGTATAGCTATAGTCCGGAGCACTCATGTTGTGGGAGAGGGAGGTGGTGTACAGCAGCGGTACAGATTGTGCTACAGCTGTACGTTGTTGTGGGAGAATATGTACAACACTAGTACAACTGGTGCTCGCTCGGCTATACCGTTGTTGTGGGAGAATATGTACAACAGTAGTACAACTGGTGCTCGCTCAGCTATACCGTTGTTGTGGGAGAATATGTACAACAGTAGTACAACTGGTGGTCGCTCGGCTATACCGTTGTTGTGGGAGAATATGTACAACAGTAGTACAACTGGTGGTCGCTCAGCTATACCGTTGTTGTGGGAGAATATGTACAACTGTAGTACAACTGGTGGTCGCTCAGCTATACCGTTGTTGTGGGAGAATATGTACAACAGTAGTACAACTGGTGCTCGCTCGTCTATACCGTTGTTGTGGGAGAATATGTACAACAGTAGTACAACTGGTGCTCGCTCAGCTATACCGTTGTTGTGGGAGAATATGTACAACAGTAGTACAACTGGTGCTCGCTCGGCTATACCGTTGTTGTGAGAGAATGAGATGTCTAACTGTAGTACAGCTTGTGGTACAGCTACACCATTGCAAGTGCTACCGTCGACTACAACACAACTGCGGTACAGTGCCAACTGTAACGCAAATAGTTGCAGTGCCTCAACAGCTAATCCAAAATTATCGTTTTAATACTACTTTCCTGTACAGTATAATTAGCGATGCTGTTTGATAAGCACTTACAACAGCAACATAAACAATCTTGCACTCCGAACAGGAACACAAATAAATGAACGGTGGTAACAAAATGATCTTTCTAAATTTACCTCATGGTTCCCAGTTCACCTTCCAAATTGACCTGATCAAATACAAAACTTTATTCATAGATGGTGGTATATTTAACATTGGAAAAGTTTACGTAAAAACTCTTGTACATTAATAAGTCTCAATAACAGCATAACAAGTGGACATTGTCATTATCAGACTCTGAAACCTAATAGATAACAACTTATTTAAATAATTACATGCTGACTAAACTTAACAGGCGTACAGCAATCTAAATAACAAAAATTAGGCATAAAATGAGGGACCTTTAACTAAGAATTAGAACGATGATATATTGTAAAGAGACAATTTTTCAGCCACGTTATTGTGACTTTTCATCTGTAAAGAAACTATATCAAAATTAGGACGATGAGACAATTGGCAGTAGAGCTTATATAACCCAGATAAACCAGTAGAGCTCATACAAACCAACATACCATGACGTTGAATATATATATATATGCAAACCGTATATCAGTGTGCATGATATATCAGTGGTATAGTATTCCTCCCACTATGAAGTAACAGTGCTATAGTATCTCTTCCACTGTTAAGCAGTAGTTATCTTGAGGTTATCGTGAGTTGATTTCGGGGCTTTTTAGTGTCCCTGCTGCCCGGTCCTTGACCAGGCCTCCAACCCCAGGAAGCAGCCCGTGACTGCTGACTAACTCCCAGGTACCTATTTACTGCTAGGTAACAGGAGCATCATGGTGAAAGAAACTCTGCCCATCGTTTCTCTCCGGAGCCCGGGATCGAACCCGGGACCACAAGATCACGTGCACAGCGTGCTGTCCGCTCGGCCGGCTGGCCCCTATAATAGTGCTATAATACCTCTAAGATATTAAGTGCTATATAGGTAGCTATATAAGTGCTATAAGATAATAAGTGCTATAATATCTATCCCACTATTTTCATCTTGAGTTAACACTCCATTTGAGAAGCAATTTTGGCAATATCTAACGCGGAACTTGACCACAATCTCAGTCAGCAGAGCTCTCAAGCGGACTTGATAGTGCTTTCATGTAAGCAATTTATTGCTTTGCGTGTTCCTGGTGGACATCAATACAAAATTTATTAGCATATAATATATTAATAAAAAAAAGCTGATTTTTTCATTAATGACTGAATTTAAAATGAAAAATTATAAGAGTTGTGCATGTATTTTTATTAATAAATATAAATTAAATATATGACACGGAATAAATCTGTTTTTATTCATGCGCGCACAATGTCATTTCATTATTTCAGTACCTATAGTTTGTAATATGAAGTATTCATGATTTATACTCGAATAATTATTTTTTCTACCTCATTACAGTTTATTTTGAAGTTTGCAAGCTGGCAGCTCATTTTTTCTGGATAGATATCAGTAGTAATTCGGAAGATTCTATATTTTTATTTAGTAATATTTTGTGCTCTTAACTACACCTCTACATGATTCTCGAATTGATGAAGTGACAGTGTGGTTTGGTTGCCAAAGTGCATTCAACAATTTTGCACATTTTGGGGTGGTAGGAACGTAGGAATTGCTA